ATTGTAACTAGTCAGATAGAACGGCCTTTGGCCAAAGTCTTACATAGCCAACGGCTGATACAGGACTATAATGGAATAATAATAATAATAATAATTCATTCTAAGTACTTAAAGCTTCTAGAGGCCGCGTCATTCGTTGTCAACACAGGACTCTCTTCACCGCGGCAACTTTCTCTTTGCAAGGCCTATCCATCGCAACATCCTTTAGGGCAGTTGTCATGTTGATTCTGCCCATTAGAATTGCAGAAGTTGCAGCTTGAGAGTTCTAGAGGCTGTTCTGGTGCTCCCTTTTGCCGATGTGTTTTCGGGCCGTCCTTGGTTAGAGCTTCGACAAGATGACAGCAGCCAATTGTATTAAAAGAGATCGACGTCTGACTAACACGTGCGCCTCTCTAAATCACATGCGGTTCCTTGGTGATGGTCTGAATCGATTTCAATTCCAGTCTACCTGTCTCATCGAAGAACCAGTAGTTTGGATCGATAAGGTCTTCGATACGAATACCTGCGTTGTCCGCGACATATCGATCTGCACCTTTCTCTATTAGCATATTGAACCGGCCTGGTTCAGATCCACGACCAATTTTCCCGTTGGCAGATACCATTCCGTCGATGGCCTTCCGTAGCGGTGTTGCTCCTGTTTCAACTTTGGCCTCCAGGTTGGCGCCGTAGTCGAGCAAAAGCGTCGCCATGGCCAATATCCGGGGCCCCGTGAGTGTTTTGATAGCATTGATGGCCATTACTAAGTGCAGTGCGGTTTCTCCTGCCGCTGTAGTAGTATTGATATTGTACATTAAACCCTTGGGAATCTTTGATTTTTCTTACTCTATATTGCCTAGGTAGTGAACTTTGCCTGATTTTCCTTTGCAAACCCTTGAGCGATCTTTCTCACCTCCTCATCGCCAAGTTCCTCAAAGATATCGAATCCCCACCGCGACTGCACGTTGAATCGTTTGTGTTTCTCCAATTGGCTGAGTTCTTCGAATGCATCCTTTGGCAATGCCTTTACCTGTCCATTGCTTTTGATACGGCTCGGCGTGACGCTCTTGGGCAGCACCACGGTGCCGCGCTGGATGCCCCAGCTAGCGAGGAGTTGCCCACGGTCCATACCTAATCTGTGACCTAACACACCGACAAGGTCATCATCCATAGTGCGTGGCTCGCCTGTCTGGTTGTTGCCCAAAGGAGAGTATGCTTCAACAAGGATGCCTTTTTCTTTACAGAAGTCGAAGAGAGCGGGTTGTTGGAGGTAGGGGTGTGCCTCAATTTGATTGACAGCCGGGACGACGTTGGTCTTAGACAAGAGATCTTTTAAGCGGTTGATGGTAAAGTTGGAGACGCCGATTGCACGGACTTTGCCAGTACTAAGTAAGTTTTCCATGGCCTTGTAGGTGGTGGCTGGGTCAATGTCTACGAGGTCGAAAACGCCATCGTCACGCAAGGGGAACCACTTGCCCTGCTTGCCGTTGAAGGCACTAAGATGTTTTAAGTATGCGTTGTGAATTTATATCAGGAAGCTATACATACACGGGCCAGTGCATGAGAAACAAGTCAAGGTATTCAACACCAAGATCTCGGAGCGATTGATTGAGCGCTGCCTCGACATCTTCTGGTGCGTGCTTGGTGTTCCACAGCTTTCCGGTTATGAAGATTTGTGAGCGTGGGACGCCACTTCGTCGAATGCCATGGCCTACTTCCACTTCGTTGCGGTAGATGGCTGCGCAGTCGATGTGGCGATAGCCCGCCTTGAGTGCTGTTTCCACTGCTTGCTCAACCTCACCGGGCTTGGCTTGCCATGTACCAAAGCCAAGGGCGGGTATTTGTGCACCCGTGTTAAGGGTGAAGTGTGTGGGAAGGGCCATGACTGTTATGGTGGGACGTCAACTTGAGGCTGGTGCAGCCAACACAAGATGGAGCAGTGTGTATAAGTAAGAGAGTGCAACGGCCGGTTCTCTGTACAACATCACGATATATATCTGCATTGTAAGTATTTCCGATGTAGCAGTGAAGCATGGGGCTGGGACGGAGCAGTTGCCCTTTGCCGCAACCCGCAACCTGTAGCTCCGCGGGTGAATTGCTTCCGTCTCCGACGAGCTAGGAACCGACGTTCGCCCCGGAGCGGATATCCTTCTCATTGGTCTGTATTCCTCATCCACCTACATCCACAACCATGCCCTCAGACGGTGCCACTGGGCTATCGCCAGCTTCCACAAATTGTATGCCAGAGCCCCAATGAGAACCTCTGAATCCTCAGGCGCCCATGGAGCTGACCCGGAATAGCACAGACAGGCAGCATAGTACCCCAGAAGCGGACCGCCGACGCAGCTCATGGCAGGCAACGCATGGTCAAAGTCACGCGAGCTTGCGATGTCTGCAAAGCAAGAAAATCAAAGTGTTCAGGTGGACAGCCATGCGAGAGCTGCATGCGCCGCCGAGTACACTGCCAGTACGAGGCTATCTACACAAGAGGGAAGAGGACCGCGCTTCGTGCCCCCGACCCGGCGGCTGCTGGGCGTTCACCTCCCGTCAACATGCAGCAGAGAAGCACTCCTCGACCTCCTCACCGAGCTGAAGTGATTATGGCTGATCCATTCGTTGCCGTTGCTCAGAGCGCCAATGATGTGGACCCGCCGTCGCGGGCTTCCCCGGGCCTCGAGGTAGCTGGGCAGTACTCAGACACCACGTCCGGTCTCTCATTTCTCCACCGCGCCTGGCGTCGCATCTCGAACAAGGAAGGCTCCCAACTTGTCAACGGTCAGCTTGGGCTAGCCGAAGACAGCCAACTGCTTATGAGTGCTGGCGACAAACCTTTTCGAGAAATTGGGCAAATGCAAATGCCATCAGCAGATCGTAGCCACGCCTTGCTAGATTTGTATTTTGATGTATGCATCGCAACCTATCGACTACTTCATCGGCAAACGGTGGAGGCCTGGCTAACGTGCGTTCTTAACAACATTCAATGCAATATTACACTTTCCAACGGTACGTAGGTGCGCAAAGGTCGCAACACAGAGCCTATCTTACTGATTTGTTTCGTCAAGGTATCGGTCATGCAAAAACAGCAGTGGTGCTCTCGGTACTTGCAATTGCAGCTTTCCACGAAGAAAAGGCCAAAAGCGACATCGCATCATCGCCCGAGAACGAGTTGAATGAAGAGCCACAGAGCGAACTCTTCTTTGCCGAGGCTGCGCGTTTGATTGCGAGCGAAACGGGTATTCCACAACTTGAGTCAGCTCAATGTAGGCTTATCCAGGTTTTGTATCTACTCATGTCTTGCCGATTCAATCAAGCGTGGTACGCTTTTGGTCATGCTCTCCAAATCATACCGGCCCTGGGCCTGCATCGAAGAGACGATCGTAAAAGACCCGGATCTACCACTAAGCGCGATTATATTGAACAGCAGTGTAGAAAGAGAACATTTTGGGTGGCGTACATTCTGGACAAGTACCTCGGCGTCATTTTTGGACGTCCCAGGCATTACCACGATGACGATATTGATCAAGATCTCCCAGACGCCATAAATGACGAAGACATGACCAGCGATGGGCCACGGAACTCAAGTTCGGATGACTGCCACCTGGAGTCGTTGATATGGCATGCACGTCTTGCACAGATTGCAGAGCGAATCTCGCGCGAGGTGTATTCCATCAAGCCGGTATGCCAGATTTAGATTTTGCGCCAATATTGCACTGACAGTGCGACATCCAGATACCAAACAATCTCCGCCTCGCTGCTTCCCATCGTCTGGGAGCAGCGCTGCGTGAGTGGAAGTCTTCCCTCCCTCCATTCCTAGGTTCCGTCAACCCGAGTAGCCTGATTCCTACTTTTCGCCGGCAATCCATAGCCTTGAAGCTTTCGTATTGCCATGCGGTCATGTTAGCCCACCGCCCTTTTCTTCTTAAGAACACCCTACGCGATAACGGTTCCATGCAAGATCTTGCACAAGATAGTCTCGATGAGTGCATCGTAGCTGCGTGCTCAGTGCTAGATGCAGTCGACCGCGTGGCGCGTGAGGGTCGTATGTTTCACGCATTCTGGTGGACACACTACGTCTGCTTTTGCGCATTGCTTGTGGTATATGTGTCTATTATACAGGATACCTACCGAGATTCAATGTCAGTAGGCGATCGCCAGAATATGCTAGATCAAGCTGAAAACTGCCTGCAACACTTGGCGCGGGCCACAGCCTCTAACTCCCCATCACGGAGATATAGCATTATCCTCCAGGAACTTCGTGCTGAAGCTAAACGAAAGACGGCTGTCCCAACTCAAGAGTATTTACCGCCATCGTCGGCTACAACTGTGGCCGGCAACCCAATAACGTTACCTGTAGAGGCTGTGAATGATCCTGATCCGTCGAATCCAACTCTACAGATGTGGCAGCCTCTTTTTGGTAGTCCAATGGACATGACAACACCAGGTTTAAAAGACTTTTTAGACGATTGGCAGACAACCGACTGGCTTGACCTTGACTCTTCAGCATTTGGCCCTTTTCCTGAGATGGATGGTGGATGCTATATTAGGTGAAATACGGCAGATACTTGATCACCGAAACGATTGTATATGTATTCCTTTGCAATCTACCTCTCTTCTTCACCGCCCAGCCGCTCTAATATCTACAATGTGTATCTAAAAAGTGGCGATTTATCACCCATATCCAGGAGTTGTTCATCGGTGTATCGTGCGCGAATCTCATCCTCACTAAGCTTTGCCTTCCTTGAGTTACCCCACTTGTACGACAATTCAAGCAGGAACGCGACAATGAAACCACTAGCACCAAAGGCGAGTGATAGCCCAAATCCTGTCTGATATTTAGGCTTCTCGTTCTCCAGATACATATAACTACCAATTACGCCGCCAATGTTGCCGATGCAGATATTGAAAGCCACGCCAATAGCTCGTCGAGAAGTTGGAGCTAAGTTGTTCGCCGCCCAAGAGCTTCCTGCAGGTTGTACCGGGTAGATGCCCATGCATGTAAGGATGATTGCAAAGAAAGCAGGGCCGAGGTTGCCACCAAGATTGCCATCGAAAGAGATAATGACTGAGTAGCCAATGAAGATCAAGCATAAGGGGATCGCAACGAATGGCAAGCGCCAGTAGAATCGATCCGAGAGCTTAGCGAAGAAGATCGAGCTCAAGGCTCCAGCCACGTACGGCGGGACCGTCATGAGTTGCGCATTTGTGTTGCTAAATCCCATGCCCTTGGTGATAGTGGGCAACGTAAATTTGGTTCCTGGTGGCAATTTAGTGCATGGAAGATAAGTAAAAGAACGTTTCATACCGTAGGAGCAGGCCGAGATACAAAGCAGAATGTATGCCTGCATATAAAGACGCCAATTGCAGAGGACCATTTTCAAATCAGTCCACTTGAATTCGTCCTTCTCCTCCTCTCCATATTTTCCTCCGTCTTTGATGAATCGTTGGAGCTCAAGGAAGCGGATTTCGTCGGGTTTGAGCCACCTTCCGCTCAATGCAGGAGAGTCGATCAGGAAGAAAAAGCAGGAAATGCCGAGGCCAACGGTAGCGATGCCCTCGAGCAGGAAAATCCATCGCCAACTAATCACGAAGCTGGATTAGCATATTCGAACAATCGCAACCCATGGTCGTATACTGTGTGGGATGGCAACTATCACCGTATCGAGGAGGGGTCAAGCTAATTTGAAACCACTTACCCTTCGTATCCTCCGATGCGGTCCATCTTGGCGATGGCCGCCGCAAGCAGACCACTAAAGGCCCCAGACAGTGCCGACGCACAATAAAAGTATGAGATTCTTGTAGCAAGGTGTTTCGGCATATACCAGTAGGAGCAGAGGTAAACAGCGCCTGGAAAGAAACCAGCTCTTGGACTGCTTAGCAAAGGATTGCAGTCTACAGTTGCGTATAACTCACTCGAATACACCAAGAAGAATCCTGGTTATCAATAGGCCAGCAAAGTTCTTGACCACACCCATCATCGTCATGATGATGCCCCAGCTAACAATAAGGATACCCAGATAGTATGATGGTCGTCTGAACTTTTTTAACAGCATATTCGACGGAACCTCGAGCAAGATGTAGGGTACGAAGAAGACTGATAGAACAACGTTCCATTCAACGCCATTCAATCCAAGATCGGTGACCATTCCTTCAATTTTAGCATTCTATTCAATGTTAGCGATAGGATTTTGTCAGTCTTTGGTGAGATGTTTACGCCAATATTCGCTCGATCTATATGAGATATGAGGTAGAGGACTGCCAACATGGGCACGAGACGAATGTCGACCTAAGAATTTCAATACAACAAGATCGTTCTCAGTATCGCATTAGTCTACCTTGCGTAGTACTCTCTTCCTCTTTTCCTCTGGATAGTTGATGTAGAAATCAGCATCCTCGGGTGCAAGCCCCAAAACTTGGATGTTGTCGATCTTGACCATCTGAGGCGCTTTTGAAGCCTGGATCGAATCCACCGCATCGTCGACGCAATGAATTTCGTTCTTGTCAATGGTGACCATTGTGCTGCGTACGTAGCAAAGATGTTTGGAAGATATGGAAACGTAGCACAAAAGCTTTACACAGTCGAAACTCGTGCCTTCTACAGAAGCTTTGATGCCCCAGGGCATGCCCCAGGGCTTTATACCCTTCTCTTAGCTATGTTAACCCTGCAGGTAAGTGCCCCAGCGTATGGAGAATTGCTTAAACCCAGTCATTTAGTTTTCTGGGGAAAGCCAAGTGCGGGGAAATCTATTCACACCAAACTCCATCTAGACATGTTCAGCTGCGCTAAGGCATTCCGATGGCGTTAAGATGGCTTCCGCACGAATCAGAGGCAAATCCGCCTTTGTCGGATATATGCAAGTGTTTCCGGAACACCATCGTTCCATATCCTGACTTCAGTGCCATACTAATAGCACGTCTTTCACTACAGTTCATATCATACTTCATCGACCATTCTTCTACCAACTACTTCGGGGTGAATCTCCACAATCATGGCGCCTGCACATATTACTCTTGCTACTTCTGTGCCTCCAGCATGGCCGCCCGCTACCTTCTTAGATATCCACAAAACTAATTTGCAGCCGGATGAGTCTACGATACAAACTGTGGACGCACTAGTCCGACATCGTGCGCGTCAAAGTCCTAACATCACCATCGTCTCATATCCAAAGTCGGGGACAAATTTTGTTGACTACTCGATGCAACAACTAGACGTTTTTGCCTTTAGGGTAGCCCGTCATTACCAGGCATTCATTCCGACAAGGAAAAGCTCATCAGAAAAGCCTATAACAGTAGCGCTGCTTGGTCCAAGTAGCTTTGAGTACTTAGTCACGATGCTGGCTCTAGCCAAGCTTGGCCACACAGTGTTGTTCCTCTCGACCAGGATATCTCAAGCTGCCATCGACTCACTGCTAGCGACAACTGGTGCCAGATATCTATTAGCGGACTCTCGATATGCTTCCACGGCCTCTGAAGCTCAAAAGAGCCTTCCTGACTTGTACATCAGTCAGATAGTCACGTCAGACATCTTCGAGTTTCCCATTGAAGTCCACGCAGATACTCGCTTGGATTATCAACTCGATCATAGTATCGAAGCTTCAAATAACATTTTCATCATCCATTCTAGCGGTGAGTAGCATATCAAGGCTTAAATGGCTCTTGTTAATTCGGCTCAGGCTCTACTGGACTGCCAAAGCCCATCTACCAGCCTCAGAAAAGCACAATTGCAAACTACGCCATCAGCATGAACATGAAAGCGTTCATCACCCTACCACTCTACCACAATCACGGCATTTGCAATTTCTTCCGTGCAGTGCATAGTGGGAAATCCATCCACATCTACAATGCCGACCTTCCTCTTACACAGCCACACCTCATAACCATCTTGAAACAGCATGACTTTCAGATTTTTTACGGTGTTCCCTATGCTCTTAAACTTCTCGCAGAAACAAATGAGGGTATCCATCTTTTGAAGCAACTCAAGGTTGTTATGTACGGAGGAAGCGCTTGTCCAGATACCCTGGGCGACTTATTAGTAGAGAATGGAGTAAATCTAGTCGGTCACTATGGAGCGTAGGTTTCCGTCTTGACATGCATTCTTCATACAAGCTAACAAGACGCAGAACAGAAGTGGGTCAGCTGATGACATCTTTCCGGTCCCAAGGAGACACAGCATGGAATTATGTTCGCGAAACACCAAAGCTTTCACCTTTTCTTCGATGGGTCACTCGCGGAACCAATCTGTATGAATGCATAGTCTTGCCAGGGTGGCCGGCAAAGGTAGCGTCCAATCTTCCCGATGGTAGCTACGCCACAAAGGATCTCTTTGAACCGCATCCAACTATTGAGAAAGCTTGGAAATATATTGCTCGCCTCGACGACACTATTGCATTGCTGAACGGAGAGAAGTTCAACCCAGTCATGATGGAGGGCACCATTCGATCGCATCGAGCTGTCAAAGAGACCATCATTTTTGGTTTCAACAGACCTTGCCTAGGCATCTTACTTGTACCTGCAATTGAAGGTATGTCCGAGTCTGAAGTCATTGATGAGGTATGGCCTGTTGTCGAAGCAGCAAATCAAACGGCAGAAGCATACGCAAGGATATCCAAGGACATGATTCGGGTCTTGCCATACAATTGCCCATATCCCCGTACAGACAAGGGAAGTGTTATTCGACAAGCATTTTACAAGGAGTTCGCAACCGAAATTGAGAATGCATACGATGCTGCGGCAACAAGCCATGGTGATCTGAAAAATCTCACTGGCTTAGAACTGGAGGACCACCTTCGCTCTATCTTAATCAAGCACACGCCCTCTGCAAAAGATATAGATCGTAAAGCCGACCTTTTTTCTCTAGGAGTCGACTCTCTCCAATCCATCCAGGTGCGAACAGAGATTCTGAAGACTGTCGATATTGGCGGCAACAAACTTGGTCAGAACGTTGTGTTTGACTATCCGACAATTGAATCACTCAGCGCCCACCTTCAACGCCTTCGTACCGGCGAAGGAGAGCAGCGGTCGACACTAGCTGAGCAAATGGGAGATCTTGTATCCCGATACAGTTCTTTCGAGCCTGTCCAAAAGGGACGTTTCATTACGCTTACTGGTGCCACAGGCTCTCTTGGAGCCCATGTCCTCGTACAATTAGTTAGGCGTCCTGACGTTGACGCAGTTCACTGCTTAGTACGCGCAAAGACCAACGGCAATGCTATGCAACGTGTCCGAAAGTCACTCCTAGACCGAAAAGTCTACCATGCGCTATCACTCTCAGCGCGCAGAAAGATACATGCACTAGCAGCAGATCTTTCCGATACTCGCCTCGGCCTAGATGACGCAGCCTACACTGGAATTGCTTCGAATCTCACTGGCGTCATTCATTGTGCCTGGAGCGTCAACTTCAACAAGAATCTTGTTTCTTTTGAAAAAGACTGCATAGCCGGCGTTCGCTATCTCATTGATCTCTGTCTGGCTACATCTTCGCCAGCGCCTGCAACTTTTGACTTTTGCTCGTCGGTCAGCACAGTTGCGCGATGCCCTGATTTGCACACGCCTGAACAAGTGGCGGAATATGATTGGGCTCAGGGTATGGGATATGCACAGAGCAAGTGTGTTGCAGAGCACATTTGCATGGCTGCCGCGGAAAAGACAAGTATCAAGGCTCGAGTGCTGCGCGTTGGTCAGATCGTGGCTGACACGGTGCATGGAGTATGGAATGTTACCGAGGCCATTCCTCTCATGATGCAATCCGCGCTCACCGTTGGAGCACTTCCCAGGCTACAAGAGTCGCCAAGTTGGACGCCCGTTGACGTGGTTGCGAAAGCAATAACGGAAATTTCATTCAGCGATGCCGGTTCTGTGGTTGCGAACGTCACAAATGCAAAGACGTTTTCTTGGACTGATCGGCTTCTCCCTGCATTACGCGAGGCCGGCCTTGACTTTGAAGAGGTCGAACCCAAAGAGTGGGTGCGGAGGCTTCGCGCATCGAATCAGGATCCAGTGGCCAACCCATCCATCAAATTGGCTGATTTCTTCGCGTCAAAGTATGACAATGACACTTTCAGTCCTACACGGACATATGAAACAGTCGTTGCGCGCTCTTACTCGCCGTCACTAGATGCTGCTCCTGTGCTCAGCACAGATTTTGTCAAGACTTTCGTCAAGCAATTTCAAGCCACGGCATGGAGGGCGCAGACTTCCGATGTCACAGAAAAGAAGAAGTTTGTCGTTTTCACTGGACCTTGCGGAAGCGGTAAATCGACTATAGCGAAAAACCTTGCTGGCCGCTTCAAGGCTTCGTTCATCGAGGGTGATGATCTGCACACAGCAGACGCCGTCACCGTCATGGCCGCAGGTACACCACTCGATGACCAAGTTCGGACACTCTGGCTCGAACGTCTCAAGCAACGGGCTCATTACATTAGCACTACTCTAGGCTATGATCGCATCTTCCTTTCTTGCTCTGCTCTGAAGAAGTCTTACCGCGATCATCTTCGCAGCCTCTCTAACGACGATGTTGATATCACTTTCGTGGATCTGCAAGTAGAGGAGGAGGAACTTGTACGTCGGATCAAGGAGAGAAAGAATCATTACATGAAGCACAGTATGGTTGAGAATCAGATTGATATCTGGGAAAGACCGGATGATTCAGAGACAGACGTACTTCCGGTCAATGCTGGGCAGCCTGTCGAAATGGTCATTGAAGAAGTGGCAAACCTTTTGGACGCCCTTCATAATATTGAGGGAACAACTTAATCCATAGATTGGAATAAACAGATTCGGAAGACTGTATCATGTTGTTCAAAGTATATACTACTCATGTAAGCATGACTTCATTCAGTGATCCAGCCCAACCTTCCTTCCTCCATACTCACCTCCATCTGATCTAGCCTGATTAGATCTGATTAGATTAGATAATCAAAACGACAAACGGATCAGTTAATCTGCATCAACTTGCTCACTTATGCAACGACAATTATGCATGATCTTTGTGTACAAAAGGATAGTGAATCACATGTGTTATCTTCTCTCAATTTCTTTTTCCTGCAATTCATGGTTATTGCCTAGAATGTGCGGTTCTTATCGTCGGCAAAAAAGTTCCAGCAAACGAGTGTGTATTTCATCTATCGAACGACCCTGAAAAGTTACATCCCTTGTATCCACCAACATTCAACTGAACTTGCAACTACATGCTGCTATCAATGATTCTCCATGTAAAGGCAGTCGGCGAACGCAGTTTGAACGTTTCCTCTGGGGCAGTTGATGCAGCCTCCGATGTACTCGCCATCAGCCTCCTGAGGAGGCTCAGAGTGCTCGCATTTGAACACATGGAGACAAAGGTATCTATGAATCTTTGGTCTGTTTCCTTCGAATGTAACATCCGTGCTGCAAGTGACAGTCGCATCGATTGTGGTTCTTGCCTCAAGGGCGGAAGAGCTCTCAATAGGATTAGCAATAGTAGCCATTGCAAGACCAAGCAATTTGTAAGGAGAAGGCTCGAGAAGCGTTCAGACAAAGA